CTTTTAAGTTGCATTCCTGAAATAAATGAACTTTTGCATGATATTCTAATTTTTTGAGTTTCACCTGTAGAAGAAAAATAACAAGAAAAAGTAGGGGAGGAGGGAGAAAGGGAGGAGGAGGAGGGAGAAAGGGAAGAGGAAGAAGCAGAAGATGGAGGAGGGAGAAGGAGTTGGGGGAGGAAGAGGAAGGAGGAGAAGAGGAGTGAAAAAGGGAAGAGGAAGAAGCAGAAGACAGGGAGGAGGAGGAAATAGGAGGTGGAAGAGCAGGAAGATGGAGAAGACAGAGAAGGAGAAGGACTAGTAGTAGTAGGAAGAGAAGACGACAGGGAGGAGGAAGGAGAGGACAGGAAGAACGAGGAGGAAGGAGAAGTAGGAGGAGGAAGAAGACAACTGAGGGGAATCTCTGAGTCTGGCTGTTTCCTTGGCAGATGTTTCACAACCCAACTAGGGAACGTCATCAGGCCCTTGTATCGTCCTACCCCATTGTACCAGGCCAGGAATCTCATGTCCCCTTCCTCTTCCTTCCACTCCTGAATTGTAGCTGCGGGTCGCGCAATGTGTACGTAGAAACCCCCCCCCCCCCCCCCCCCCCACCCCGAGCCTGACGCTCCGCCCCCACCCCCCCCCGCCCCCCCCCCCCCCCTTACCTCTGTGTCCGCTTCCTCTAACATCACCAACTCTTTGGGATCCACTGTTCTCCAGCTAGAGAGAGAAAAAGAGTGGGGGGGGGTAATCAATCGGTCAATTTTGTTTAGTGACAGTTGGAAGATACGACAGGGGCCTGAGATAAAAGAAAAAAAGTGGCCCAGGATCCATTTTTCCATGCTTCCAACACTCGTGATAAGCCCAGGGTCACACAATCGAGATTCAGATGCTTGGCAACAGACTCGGACTGTGCACTTAACAACTGCAGTGATTCGCTTAACAACCGTGGCAAAGAAGGTCTTGGTGCAAATACTCTCAGTATAGATAAAAGATACTATGTGATTCACTTAATAACCACAGTGATTCACTTAATGACAGTGGCAAGGAAGGTCCTTAAACGGAGTCAAACTCACTGAAAAATGCTTCTCTTAACAACTGTGTGACTCAACCATCGCAGGGATCCCCCTAGCAACGGCAGCAGGAAAAAGCGTAAAATGAGGCCCAACTTACTCCCCCGACACTTGCACTTCACAACTGAGCATCTTCCCTTAACCCCCGTCTTTCTCAGGCATGGAAAATGGGGACCAGCATCGTGGTCATGAAGTTGAGGTGTCAGTTTGGAATTCCCTGTAATGGAATTCCTTCTGGGAACAAGACACGGGGTTTCCCTACCCACCCCCTTCAAATTAAATTCCTTTTTGTCTTCAATTGTTAAAATTCCAGATTCTGGATTCCTCAGGAAATCAATTTGAGAATTCGCCCCCTCCCCAAATAAAATAAAATTAAACAAAATATAAAATACAATAAATTAAAATAAAATGAACAAAATAAATTAAAATAACAATTAAAATAAATTAAAATAAAATAAATCAAATCAAATTAAAGAAATGAAATGAAATAAAAAAATAAAATATAAAATAAATTAAAATAAATAAAATAATTAAAATAATTAAAATAAAGTAAAATAAATGAAATAAAATATAAAATAAAAATAAAAAATTACAATAAGTGAAGCAAAATAAAAAATAAATGAAATTAAAATAAATAAAAGAATTAAAATAAAGTAAAAGAAATGAAAATCAAATAAAATATTAAATGAAATGAAATAAATGAAATAAAATATTAAATGAAATGAAATATAAAATAAATGAAATGAAACAGATAAAATTATAAAATAAAATAAATAAAATTAAAATAAATAAAAAACAATTAAAATAAAGGAATTAAGTAAAAAATAAAATAAAACATAAAATAAAATAAATGAAATAAATTAAGTTAAATTAAATAAAATCAAAAGCAATACAGTAAAATGCTGTAAAACTAAAATATTGTAAAATCAAATCAAATCAAAAGGAACTCACCTGGGGGTTAAAATCTCTTTATATTGCAATTTTTCCACCCGGGTGGCGGAGGCCATGGACATCGGAATGACAATGTTGTTGATATCGTAGGAAGTTTCCACTTTTTTCTTTTTGGCAGGCTGCATGGGGAGAAAAAAAACCCACACACCACAACACACCATCGGTGAAACTGATCAACCAACAAAAGACAACACAGTGGGATGGGGGCAGAAATCTTGCCACTTCGCAGGAGTGAAGGGGGCTTTTTATCTCTGAATAAAAGGGTTTTATCTGAAGATGGGGTTGGACTAGATGACCTCCAAGGTCCCTTCCAACTCTGTTCATCTAATCTAATACTGAAAGGGGGGGGGGGGGGGGGGGTTTGATGGCACTTCCCTATTACAGGATGTGTGTGTTAGGGATAACATTGTTTACCCTAACTGTTTTGGGTAAAGATAATAAAATGATGAATCATGGTTTGTCAGATAAAGTGTATGTGAGTTTAAGCTAAAGGAATGTAATTAAGGGTACAGCTGTAAAAGTACTATGTAAGCAGCAAGGCACTCTCTGGCTCTTACTGGCTGGCTTATTGAAGACTGCGTTCTTGCTGGATCGGGGAGGAGAAGAAGTGTTGGATTACTTTGAAGATATTTCTCAACGGAGAGAAGATAAGTTTTGGACAGATTTATTATATGTGTACTGACACTGGCTATTCGACACGGACTTTGCAATTAGAGTATCCTCGACAAGACTTGACTGAATTTGGTATATGACTAATGGACTGTTTATAATGACTATGCTATAATTCTTAAATGGAATAAACTATATTTTTGATAGCACAAGCGTATCTGTATTTTTACTGCGTGTTAACTAGAAAACTTATCTCACACATTTACCTGTCTTCCTATCTGACTTCGCTGCACATTCTGTTTAGTTTGTTTTCCTTAACACCCGTTGGGGAATCCAGGCTTAACAGTGTGTAGCTCAGGGTTGAAGGGGGGTCTCTCTGAGCAGGGGCACGGGGTGGTGGTGGTGGTCTTGAAGGCATTTCATGAGCCCGCTAGGTTACATCATCAGTATTAGAAGGAAGGGGGTGGGGATTTGCAGAGAGGAGAATGACTGTGGGGGTCTCCTTGGATGCTCTCTGAGTTGGGTGGTTTTCTATCAGACGTCTCATGACCCAACTAGGGAACGTCATCAGGGCTAAAAGGGAGAGGGGAGTTCGTGGAGAGAAGGGAGAGAGTAGAAAGAACTGTGAACATCATTAGTGCTGGGAGGGAGGGAGGGAGGGGACTGTGGGGTCCTTGGTGCTCTCTGAGCTGGTTGCTTTTCTTGCAGACATCTCATGACCCAACTAGGGAACATCACCAGTGCTTATAAGGGAAAGGAGGTGGTGGTGGGAAGAAGAGGGAGAGGTGGAAGATGATGATGAGGAGGAGGAGACAATAGATGAGAAGGAGGGGACAATAGATGAGGAGGAGAAAAAGAGGAAGAGGAGACAATAGATGAGGAGAAAAAGAGGAGGAGGAGACAATAGATGAGGAGAAAAAGAGGAGGAAAATGAAGAAGAGGGGAGGAGGAGGAAGAGAACCACTGTGGGGTTCTCTGTCCTCCCTTGTCAGTGTTTCCTTGCAGACGTGTCATGACCCAACTAGGGAACATCATCAGTGCTAGGAGGAAGAGGTGGAAAATGACAAAGAGGAGAAGAAAAGGAAGAGGAGATGAAGAGGAGGAGAACGACAACTGTGGGGTTCTCAGTCCTTCTTGTTTCCCTGCAGATGTTTTGCAACCCAGCTAGGGAACATCATCAGTGCTGGGAGTGGGCTGCCCTCTCCCTTTTCCACACAGCCCCTTTCTGGCTCACTTACCAACGCAGAGCTGCTGCTGCTGGCTGTGGCGGGATGAGGGGGCATGTGATTGACATGCGGAATGGGAGGGTTTTCAAGGCACAGAGGTGGCGGCGTGAGCGAAGCGCCCAGTTTGTTGGGCGCAGAACGTCGGACGCAAAGGCCGAAGCCAGCCAATCCTTTCAACAGACCATCTGTAAAAAAAAAAGAGAGAGAGAAGGTGGGTCAGTCAAATCCGTCGTAAGTTGGGATGATGTGACAGAGGGGTTTGGGGTTCCACTGTAACTCCCGTTTTCTGCCAACTGATGAATGACTGATCCAGGTTTTCTGGCCCCGAGAAAAATCTTTTCTGATCGTTCGGTGGAAAGACGGCCACCTTCTTCGTCACACTCGACTTACGACCGTTTGAAATTCCCCCGGCCCTGAAACGAGGGACTTGGGACCATGTTTCAGATTTATACCCTTGACAGGATCCAAATTCAAATGTTCAGCCACTGACTCGTATTGATGATTTGGGGGGTGGGGGGGGGGGTGTCATGCGCAATCCCCTTTTTGCCACCTTCCATCAATGGGGAAACCGGATGTGCTTTAACGACCGCAGAGTTCTGCTTTCTGGTGGGGCATTGCTTGGAACGTTGACAACTCACGTAACAATGGCTGGGATTCACTTAACAATGGAGGACATTCAAATTTAAAACTGTCTCCCTCCACCACGGAAAGGTTGGCGGTTGTACGCAGGGGTGGGGCTTTCAAAATTTTAGCAACCAGTTCTCTTCCCGGTTGCTGGATGGGCATTGGCCATGGTGGGCGTGGCCTAGTCGGCCTCCTGCACCACGGGGGGAGGGGCATTTTCACCCTCCCCGGGCTCTGAAGGCTTTCCTCAAGCCTCCGGGAGGGCGAAAACGGGCTCCCTGGAGGTCAGAAACGGGCCCGTTTCTGGCCTTCCAGAGCCTCCAGGAGGCCCGTTTTTCACCTCCCTGAGCCTCTGTGCAGGCCCTGTACTTACCTAGGATCCAAAATGGGCCACGTGGAGACTCCTGGGAGGGGCAGGACGAGCTAGGATTGGGGTTTGCTGGTTCATCGAACCGGCCATAAAAAATAAGATTATCAACCGGTTCGCCCGAACCATGGCAAACTGGTAGCAGCCCACCCCTGGTCATACGTCAAGGACTGCCCCATCTTCCAAAGCAGGCGGTGATGACGACAACCCTGCGATTGAAATTCAGCTGCTTGGCAACCAGTTCCGATCCCTCTTTTGAACTACAAGGCCCATCAGGGAGATGGGACATGTGTCAAAGAGACAAAACTCCACCCGCACCGCCCCCCCAAAAAACCCATTTTTAAAAAAACCATTACTTATACCCGGAGCGGCAAGCGATGGGGAACCAACATTGTTGGTTAAGTCTTTCAAGCTGACATGGGGCGGCTTCAGAAAGTCGGGTTTGGGGGTCGACCAGTGGTCTTCTCGGAGCAAGGCCTCGAAGTGTAAATGCAGAGGGTTGCCTGTTGAAAAAAAGAGACAAAGTAAATAAATCATGACATTTGAACCCTACAAAAGTTGAGACACAACTCAAGAGGCTTGTCCTCTTTTGAGTAAGACGGGTTGACGGCTTTGGTTCCTTATGCCGTAACGTCTCATTAAGCTGGCAGGAAGCTTTGGTTTTTCACCCCGTGTATGTTGGAATGAAGGCCATGGGGTTTGTGTCATATGTGTGTGTGTATGGGTATGTGGGTATCTGCGCAATGGTTATCTTTGGAGGGCCGAATGCAAGGAAATATCATTTTAATGTATGCTGATTAGTGTGCATTTTCAAGTGACAGTAAAGTTTCTCTTCTCTTCCACCACACTATTCTAATTCTATTGTCTATTCCATTCTGCAGTCTATTCCATTCTATATTCTATATCCTATATCCTATTTTCTATTCTATTCAATTTCATTCTATTCTGTTCTGCATTCTATATTCTCTTCTCTTTTCTATTCCATTCCATTCTGCATTCTGTTCTATTCCATTCTAAATCCTATCCTATTTTCTATTCTATTCAATTTCACTCTATTCAGTTCTGCATTCTATTCCATGCCATATTCTAGAAGTGAAACTCGAAAAATTAGAATATAGTGCAAAAGTTCATTTATTTCAGTAATGCAACTTAAAAGGTGACACTAA